ACTGTTTCACAGAACTGCAAAGGTGTGCTAGGAAGGCAGAGAAAGAAAGGATACAAATTTTAGTACAGTGACTTTCCGTTCTGAGCAGTAGCAGAATCATTTGAACTTTGTCTATTGTAGCTTTGGATTTTAAAACTGTGGGGCATAGAGCTTTGGTGCTTACACCATACGGAGCAGTTGCTTAAGATAAACAGGGAGGAAGACAGTCTATTTTTAAAAAAAAAGTGTACACCTCTTGGTATATAGAGCTGTGTATCAGACCTTGCTAAGTTGAAATGAAATTCTGAAGAGACTTTTGAGAGTCAAAGAAAATAAAATGATCTGTGAGGACAGCCTGTCAGAAATGAGTAGTAAGACAATTACAGTTCCACTGGAAGAGGTATTTCAAAATAACATTTAATATTGTTAAAAGAATTACATTCAAAAAGATAACATTGAATACACTTTAAGGCCTTTATTTCATGTACCATGTTTCAACTTCTGCTGTTCTTTGGCAGTAATCTGTCGTAAATACTATCACCTTTTTCTTCTGGAAAATTAAGCTTTAAGCCTATGTGATTTTGAAGTTGCATTTTCTATAAAAACAACTGAACTAGTGTTTCTGCTTTACCTCAATTTTGCAAAGAAATTATCATGATTGGACACAAAGTAAGCAAAAGTATTCTTTTTACTGTTCCTAACATCAGGCTTTATGCTAAAGTTTCTTAGGGCGTGTCTACACACAAGTTATATACTGCGTTATCTATACCAATATGGCTAATGTGATATAATCTCCCTAGTATGGCTGCATTCATCAGTATAATCTACACAGCATCAGATCAACACAGCATGGCAATGCACACTAGGGGATGTGATTTCTAAAGTGTACCAACATTTTGTGTACTAACGGACTCATACAGACCCTGTTGGCGTGCACTAAAAGTTCTATAAGTGCACTTAACATAGTGTAACAGCGCATTAGGAAACTTTTAGTGTGCATCAGCAGAGTCTACACAGTCCAGTTAGCATGCAACATGTTAGTGCACTCAAGAAGTCACACCTAATGCATATTGCTGCACCATGTAGGCAAGCCCTTAGTCCTTTAAACTGATACAACTATTCCTATACAGAAAGAGGAATAAATTATGCTGGTATAAAAAGTGTTTATACCAATATATCTGCATCCACGCTAATGTGGTTGTACTGGTATAACTATTTCAGTAAAAAAAAAAAACCCAACACCACTCACAGCCAAAATAGCACATAGTAGACCAGTGAGACAGTCTGTATCCCTATGTTCACCCCTTTTTAAAAACTATAATGATTTTGTACAAGGTATGTCTTTTGAGGCTTCATTTGAAAACTCAATGTGCTGATCATTATTGTCCTGGTAAAATATATGTGGCAGCATTGTATGTAAAGTTATAAGATTCCTCTGTATAACAGTACTGAGACATATTCCATGCTTAGAAAAGCAGGCACCAACAGCTTCCTCAGAGAGGAAAGGCAAACTCTCTCTGCCTCAGCCAGGCGTCAGCGAAGTCAAATGGACTATCACCCGGTTAAGCGGCCATTCTTTGGAAGGAAAAAGGGTGAGTAAAAAATTTACATCTTGGCAACAAAACAGCTGGAGGTTCCCATCTCCACAGACTTGCTGTCTCCTGAACCCTAGCTGGAGATGATTTTCAAAGAAAGAGAGGGAAACAGAGGCCCCCAAATATCTCTCCCTTCATGTCTACTCACAGCATGAACAGCACCTGAAGGACAAGGATATTAACATTGAACTGGGGGAAAGATCCTGGCTGAAAGGATTTCAGCCATATGACTGCTAAAGCATGTGGTGAGAGAAACCTTTGCTGGTATTTACTTAGCTTGTTAAGTTAGGTATTAGTTTGCATTTTGCCTTTATTTCTTTGTCACCAATTCTGACTTTTATGCCTCATTACTTCTAATCTCTTAAAATATCTTTCTGTAGTTAATAAACTTGTTTTATTGTTTTATCTAAACCAGTGTGTTTGGGAAACTCCATTTGTTATAACAAGATTTGCACATATTTTCTATTAATGAAATGATGGACTTTATATGAGCTTGTATCGTCCAGGAGAGTGCTGGGCAGTACAAGACACACATTTCTGAGGGAAAGTCTGGGACTGGGAGTTTGCTGGTGTTGTCCTCAACGAAATTCATGGGTGGCTGACTATAGCACTCATACAGTATAGCTGGGAATGATTTACATGTTGGAGGCTGTGTGGGCAGACCAGGATCAGTGGCTCTCACAGCAAAGCAGTGTAAAAGGTACCCCAGGTTGAAGGGGACATAGCTGTTCATCAGTCCAGATTATACCCTGGGTAAATGTCACAACCAGGCCTTAGACACTTAAAATAAACATATTTTCTTCTTAAAAGTCAGCTGACTCTGTAGTGCAATTAATCATTCTACAATTATGGGTCGCTGGTCCCCAGACACTTCTCTAGAGGTCCTTAAGGACCATGACAACAAGCAGAATGCCATATGGAAGTTGGGGGGATTTAGAGCTAAGTGATACGCAAGGGGACCTTGTCTTTACAAAGTGGTCTGTGAAAATCAAATACGAGAGAGAACTTGTGGTGTAGTGGTTAATGCCATTTGGCTGCTATGTGGGGAAACCTGTTTGAAAGTGACAGAACTCTGATACTTGTGACAGCTGAAGCTTGGGAAGTCAAAGGTGATACTCCCTGTGTCACGGGATGTAGAAATGAGAGCAACAGAAGGAAAAACCCAGGGAGCCCAGTCCAGCACATAAGCAATGGTGGTCCTGTAAGTGGAAAGGAAGCCGTTCAGGCAGCTGTTTAGTTCTAGAACTGAACTGAGGACCTGGAATGAAAGATCTGGTGGTAAATCATCCCGAACAGCCCTCTTGACATAAGCACTTCATCTGGGTTTGGCAGGAGAAGAATCACTCACTGAAAACAAAGGGTGCCCCTCGTCACAAAAAACTTAGTTTACAAATAAAACCATCAAAATACCCTGAGTGTAGCCTTATTTGCTGATTACATTGAATGAAAACATTTTAGAAGTAACATATAAACTTAACTTTAATAAATGTTCTGCTCCAGTTTGATAGCGATTTATGCTTAAGAGATACTACATCTTTTTACCCGTGATTAGGCCAACAGCTTTCACAGATCTAATTTGTCAATAAGTTACATTCAGAATGAAGTCTGATAATTCACATTCATAATGAGTAAACAATACTACACTTAACTGTACCAACGTTTACAAATGATTAAAGTTCAACATAGGACTATGAGTAAATAACTATTCATTAGTCAATGGTATAGCACAATTACAGTAAAGCATGTTGTGTATGTTTCACCATTTTATTTTGTATCAAAACAGATGAAAAACCTAAGTTTATCTGAAGGCCAGCAAGAATTGCAGAGTAGCCTCCTGTGTTTCTGTATAAATCTTGGAAAAAAAAAAAACATCTCTGTCTGCACTGTCCAATACCGTTACTGTTTACTAGGACTTTTTAAAATAGAAAAGTGCAATACGATGTTTAAAATCAAAAGTCTTGGCATGTCTAGCTTGGCATTGAGGTTTCCAATTAACACTAGTAGCAGTGGCCAACTGCTCAACAATATTGCACAAAAACACATCTTTAGAGATGAAGGTACTAAAACAGAACAAGTAAAGCTCTTCTCCCTGACAAACATGAAAAATGTAAAATGCTCAAAAATAATTCAACCTACATAATTTATTATCTTATTTGTTGATCTTAATGATTTTATACTTCATTGGATTAACAGGCAGTTTGAAAATTCAAGAATGTTTGCTTTCTCAATTAAAAAAAACCTCTTGTAATCCTTCTTCTGCAGGTAACTACCAGGATGCTCACCATGAGGCCCCGATCAAACACATGGCATCTTAGGCAGTTCAGACATTTAGCCTTACTGTGTGGAGAAAGAATAAGCCAGTCAATCCCTTTCCTCTAAATCCATCAGAACTGCTTTGCCACCAGAATTCAGAGGTTGCTCCTGAACCTTTCAGTCACAGCCCCATGAACTGTCTCCTCCTATCTTTTGTGCCACCTAAAGCAGCAAAGACATTTACCTGTACAAAGAGCCTTTAAACACTGTAAAAGGTTTTGCTTTTGATCACCTATGAAAGTGAAGTCTCTATGAAGGACAGAACGCACATACATTTCAAGATCTGTACGTTTCTTATATATAATAGTTTACATTTTTACAGGACTACCTTACTTAAATTGCCATTCAAAAGCTGTAAGGTGATTTTAGTCTCTGAAAGAACAATTTCTGAACAAAGTTTTCATTTTAGAAAAGTGACCCTTTTTGAATTATGGGAATAATTTAATTCAGCGATATAAATTACAATAAATGTTACTGAATAGGGTCTGTCTTCTAAATTAAATAATCACTGATCTTGCAGAGTATATTACTAGAATACAGATTTGAGATTACAAATGCAGTACATCTGCACATTACTTACATCATCTTAAAGCTGATAAAATACACCTGTTGGTAATTTAGTTTACTTCTGTAGAAGTTTAGTAGATAAATATGTTTGGGCAATTGTTAAAGAAAGAGCACTATAAGCGGAATTTAAACAACTTCTGGAAATTATATACGCAAGATGACTGTACACGGACATGCAATTTTTGGAAAGTTACATTAGTTTCTTTTTACTTTTAGAAGAAAGGTTCTCCAAATCAGATTAAAATATTAGCTTGCTAATTGGTTAGATAAATAGTAAATGTGTTGCCTTCCTTAATTAGTCAAAATATTTCTACTATAATTACAAAAAGTTTTCTTGAATCCTATTCGTGTTTCCATTGTGAAGAAGCCTATATTGAAAAGTTATCACTGGTACTAAATTACGTTACCTTTCTCTTCCACAGAAGCTGAGCAAAAATCCTCACAGTTCAACACAAAGCAAGAAACAAGATTCCGGGAGGTGTACTTTATACCAGTCCAAAAAAAGCTGAACTGCAGTTTCAAAACTGGGACTGTGTGGCAGGAAAAACAAACAAACAAAAAACAAAACAAAAAACCCCCAGTAACAAATCTCTCTTTGACAATGAGGTTGTAGCTTGGTTTCACTATTCATACCAACATAAATGAATTGTCCTGTAATTGCCTTAACTTTCCAGGTTTTCCAAAAAGTCACATTCAACACTTTCTTCTAGTTGTTTCAAGATCCTTGTGCTGTTGCCAAGAGAATATTCCACTGACAGAGATGCTGAACTCTGTGCATTTTGGGACCTGTTACCTTGTGCTTTGAATGCACAGCTCAGGGTCCTGAAGAAGGGCATTAACTGTGTGATGCTGGATATAGAACGAAGGTTCAAAAGAGGATAGTCACATTTCTCTGAAGTTCTCTCATTAGTGTTTGTTTCCTGCAAACAAGCATACAAACCAGAAGATTCATTGAGTATTATGCAGAAAGCTGGTCTATTCCTCTATGACATAACTTGGTTGAAATCTGCAGTAGATACTATTTGTCAATCAATGTGAGATCTGCAGCCTGCTATACCAGGCATTTCTTGCATCACAAGATGATTTGTACAGCTGTTACCTTAAAATGGAGTTTTACTTTAAAAAGTGAGTTTCTAACAATGGTATTATGTGGTTCTATATTCTCTCCCCCCCACAAGTAATCCCTGTTGGTCACCTGATTAGGCACTGTCAGTGAGTGCTGTTCTGCAGATATATTAGCAATAGGTCTTGAAAAAGGACCTAAAGGACTGGGTAGTAGCTTTACATCTTTACTTCTGGGAAGGTGTTGCATACATACTGGAAGGCAGGCATGGAGCAGTATGGGAGAAGGTGACAAGTGGGTAAGGGAGGTTAGCATAATTAACAGTGTGTGAGATCCCCTGCCACAATAAGGTTCTGTGTATGTAATAAGATTCTGCAGTCCAATTCTACCATTTATTCCTCACAACTCCGCTGCCGTCAAGGGGGTTGCACAGGTGTAAATTAGGGCAGAATCTGATTTAGCACTTCAAACTTTGATACTGACTCCTTTGATGCACATGCGGAAAGAAAATCTAGCTCGTTCACTGAGCTGCACTGGCTGTGCTGTAGTAGCAGAATTAGTAAAAATGTTGGGACACTAAGGCAAGCACATATTCCTCTGAATAAACACAGGCAGCAGATCTGAAGTTAGAAGATGCATTTCTAAAAAGTCACTTTTCTGAGGAGAGCCACATATTAAATTTTCTCTTGTGAGCAACATAATTCTTTGAGAGTGCACATGCAATTTTAAAAATCATACTTCCTAGCCACCGTCTGCTTTGTCTTCCTTTATAACCCTCCCTATTTTTCAAGGCTATGTTGCAGTATCTAAAGTGATACATTAGTTTAAAATACATGTATGACAACTGTGTATTTGAGGCTACATTCTAGTCTCATTTCAGATGGTTATTTTTTAATATATTATATATTTGAAAGATTTCCTGTATTAAAAGAATTCCAATTTTTCTTAAGTTATCAATTCACAGTGCAAGATATACATGGAGATCCTGTCCTCCAATATCCAACCAGAAGACCTAAATAGCTGCAGTATCTATTATGTTCAGGAGTGAAATGAACAGGTTTGCAGTAGTTTAGCAAGTTGGTACTTTCCCCTGGAATTCATTCCATACTCCAGAATTTCAGCTTCCATGAAAATATTAGCCCTTATGCTTGCAAAGCTAGATCAGCTTGCAAATGAGAACTGGATGGAAAGTGATGGCAGTGCATGTGGGATTCTGGAGACAACCAGAAACAATAGCCCTGAGAACCATGAACACCCCCATTCATCTTGATGGATTTTTGATGCTGAAGCCTAAAAATTTAAAATACCAATATTCTTATCAACTACTTCATTTTTGATCAAAGCATGTAAGATCATAATATTGCTAGTAAATGTTAATCTTTTATTATTCCTTTGAATATTAAACTCATGATTCTTTGGCCAAACATCCCAGAAACATTTCTGTGTTAGCCAAAGAGCTGTCTAAACTCTAATGCTAAAGAGTGCTTTGTTTTAAACTAATGAATGTCTGTAATCGATAGTAGCACTGTATTTAATTATCCGCTCTGCTTTTTACCCTGATCTTGCTAACCTAGTACAGATGCCCAGGAAGGACTTCTAATAATTAACAAAGGATGCTTATAAATGTGCACTGTAATTGAGAAGATATTAGTAATAGACAAACTGGACAAGGAACATGTGTTATAACAGATGTGTTCTACAATCAATGCAACAGCAAACCACTGAGTAGTGTATTGATTAAATGTCTAAATTATTAAGAGCTAATTATGGTCACAAATGGTCTCAGTAGTAATAAATTAGTTATCAATGTAATTTACTTATTGATTAGGTAAGTTCAGAATATTCAAAATAAAACATGAGAAAGGATATTTCAGCAGGGCTAAAATTTTAGATCAAAGAAAATTTTGAAGGATTTTCTTTGATCTAAACCAGTATACAAGGGATAAATATGGGGGAACTGAGTAAGAAGTGAAATGAGATGCCAAATTTCTCCAGTCGCAGACTGATACGTATGTTTTCATTTCTGTATAGTGTTGTGTTAAGTATTGATTGATTGTCTTACTTAAATAAAACTTCAACTGAGTTGGTTATTTGACATCAAATCTTATTAAAATCTGAACACGTAACACTATGAAGACATGCCCAATCTCCTGTGATTAGTTTCTCATTTTGGGGTCATGAATGGAGGGAGTTTGGGATAGTACAGCGATTTTTTCCAGGCTGACCCTTGTCAGAAGATATTACCTGCATAATTGGTAGATGTGTCTATAGTGAATCACCTGAAATAAATGGCTATCTGGAATCCTCCAGGCAAATGTAATATAATAGGAATATTGTCAAGATAGATCAATTTTAAAGCCAAAGAGCCTTTTAATATGGAGACTGAAATCTACTGCCCAGCTGACTTTTCTAAATGAATAAAAATGGTGCTTTAAAGTTATCAGAGTTAATGTTAATAGAAAATATGTATCTAATGAAGCGTTCTCTTTACCCCATATTTCAGCTTTAACGAGTCCATGATTCTAATGATATGTGGTTTACATTCTTGGTGATTTTCCATTAGATGAGAGGTCATGGTACAAGTCTCTGTCTCCACTTCTGGAACAAAGGCCCATCTGTACCTGAAACAAATGTATTGTACAGGTCAGAAATCATTCATGAGAGTCCCTTTCCTAGAAATAAATAAAAAATGCTGACAATTCCAACACTAAGCTTTCTTATCCCACTGTTTTAATAGCTGTGCTGACCATCCTCCCCCATGCTCTGTTACAAGAGCTGTATTTTGTGGTCAGTCTGTTTAAGTACTGAAAGGATGGACAATGTCCCCATATAGATACAAGTGAAAATGAAACAGACCCTTCCTCTCTCCCAACAATTCTCTCAGTGTTGGAAACAGCAAAATCTTCTCAAAGTCTGATATCTAAATATTTATCAGATATCCAGCAGGTTATGCCCATATGTGACGTTGTTTGATTAAAATATAATTATGCAAACCACTGTTATATAATTGCAATGAATCTTGTACAAAGTGTAACATATGGCCAGAAAGGGTTAAGCAGCTTGCAGGCTAGCTAACCCAGAGCCAACCCGTAGAGACATGTTAGAAATGGTAATTAAGGCCATTCAATGCTAGATAGGTTTGCATTTCAAAGTTCTAGCCTATGTTGTTAAAAGTTAGAAGTGATACTAATTGTGTGTTTACTTATAGATGCTAGCCATGTAAACAGACAGTTCCGGTCTCTCACTATAGCTATTGATTCAGAGATCAAAAGGGAATATTAACATTTAGATGAATCTTGGGTGAAATAATGTCATTGTCTATATGTTTCTCTGAAGTTTGTGATAGACTGCTTAATAAATTATCTTATGTTAATCCATGTAGATAATTACCGGCAATGCTTAGGAAATAGACCTACTTCAAAGTTGCCCTGATTGCCCATTGTTTACCCAGGACTGTATGGTCAAGTGGATGCTAGAACACTGTATAAAAGACCCTTGGGTCCTGATCCTGTCATCTCAGATCTGCTTGAGGTTTCATGCAGGGGAAGCCTAAGCCATAAGGATTGAGATCCCAGTCCTAAGCTGGAACACTCTGAATAGGATATTGGACGTTGGACTATAACCTATGAACTAAATTCTAAAAGAACTCTTTGCAACTACAAAGCTCACCATCTCTGCTATGAATCTGAACCTAAGGAATTGAACTCATGTCTGTATGTATATTGATCTTTTAACTATACTTTCTCTCTTTTCTTTTTAAATTTTAGTTTAGTTAATAAGAACTGGCTGTAAGCATGTGTTTGGGTAAGATCTGGAATATTCATTAACCTGGGAGGTAATGTGTCCAATCCTTTGGGATTGGAAGAACTTTTTTACATATGATATGATGAATAAGATTTTCATTAATCCTCATTATATCTGACTTGGGTACCTGGATGGAGGCCTGAGGCTGGGTTACTCTAAGAGAACTGTGGTGTTGGCTTCTGGGCAACCAGTGAGGTAATAAATAAGCTGTTGTGGGCTGGCTTGGTAAATCTAAGCATTGGAATATCCACCAGCTCTGGGGATTGTCTGCCCCATTCTTTGCATTTCACCCTAATTGAATGACTTCAGCTGGCTCCCCTGGGAATCCGGTCACACCATACCTATGTAAAAACTTGTGGATGAAGAAAAGATTGATGAGAGACACCAGGTTTACTAACTATGGAGGAGAAAATAAGAGTCTTACAGTACATTTACATATTTTTAAATGGTGCACAAATAGAATGTTACCTACAGTACTATATGCCATATAGCTATAAATTAAAAAGAGTACCTAGAGGACTTACATTTGAAATAACTGCATCTTGTCAGGTGGAAAAGAAAGCGCTGTGTCCAGGAACTTACAAGCTGATAAATACAAGGACAGCTCGTTCTGTTGTATGTCTGAAAGTAAGGGGCCACTGCCATCAGCTGAAGCTGAAGTTTTCTGTCTGCTTACTTTGCTGTTGCTCCTGTGTGATTAACCAGGAAGGAAAGCACTATTAAAAAAACCCACTAAATATTTTCCGTCTGCTAAAGGATTACAGTCACCTATAAGGGTTCATTTGTACTATACATTTATCTTCAGACATTTATAAAAAACTACATGGTAAAATAGTCAAAAACTATAGTCTTCACCCATTTTTTCCTGTAAGTAGCCCATTTTTAAAACACAATTGCCACATCAGCTGCCTAAATGACAACATTTACTGTATGGCAATGCCAGACTTCGATATGCAACATTGCTTGCAAGCTGCAAATGCTATTGTGATTTTCTGAAATTCCAGCCAGAAAGCAACCACAACTCCTCGGACATGTTTTGTTAATTTGTTTCTGTTTTACGTGAGATAAACAATTCTTACTTTGATGGTTCATCTTCCTCAGCTAAGTCTTCTTCCAGCTGTATAAATGTCTGAATCTTAACAAAAAACAAAAAAAAACAAAACAAAACAATCATGGAAAAGACTGCTTCATATGAGATTAGGAAGCGCAGGACAAGTTTTATTTTAACTTTGTCACTTATAAACACCGTCGACCTATCACAAGAGTTAGTTCTTTGAACAACAAAATTTATAATGGAAAGTAAAATATATTTTCAAACCACAGCAGTCCCCCCAAATTATCTAATTGAAAACTAAGATGTAAAATCATAAACCAGTTGCAAAGATGGAGTGTGTTTGGAAGGAAGGGAAAGGTGGGTATGGAAAGCAAATGTAATATATTCTACATTGGTATTTGTTAAAGCATTACTGCTTACCAATTCAGTCACCATGATTGGCCACAGTGAGGTTAGATGCTGAGGAGAAATTCTTAGCAACAGAACTCTGAAAAAGAGAAACATCTGGGCAGCAACTATAGAAGTCTGTCCAACACGGAGGTTATCTGTCAGTCGTTCTGAAACACATTTTCAAAAAAGTTACAATTTTTCATGTACATAAAGCTAGTTTTGGTAAATTAGAAATGCAGGGAAAAAATGTAGTTTGCTTTGATTATGTCATCCAGTTTTGATTGGCCGTTCTTTTCACTCCATCAAAGAAATGGTCAATTTTCCCAAAAATTCTCCCAAAACATGACAATAATTTGGAGCTAGGTTAACTTTTGTTTGGGTTTTTTCTTGTCAAAAACTAACTGTGTTAGAGATCAGAGATTTTAAAGGGTTCTCCCCCCCGAACCTAGCAAAAATTCAGAGGTGGTAGGGAAATAGGCAATACAACAAAAATATATAAAGTATAAGACGACTGTATCTATGTAAACAAGGCACATTTTAAAAATATACTCTTACCTTGTATTAATGGAAGGTAAAGGTGATACTGATCGATTTCTCCACTAAAGACAGCAAAAGCCTGCCGCTTTAACAACATTGCTTTTTGCTCAAAACTTGGGAACATTTTTAAAGAACTGCTCTGCATACCTACAAAAAAGACCATAATGAATATGTACACAATTTAAGAGATACATCTTTACCTCAAAACACAAGTTATTTCTAGGGCTATCAAGCGATTTAAAAAATGAATCATGATTAATTGCGAGATTAAAAAAATTAATTGTGATTAATCACAGTTTTAATCGCACTGTTAAACAATATTAGAATACCATTTATTGAAATATTTTAGGGGTTTTCTATGTTTTCAAATATAGGGTCAAGGCTAGGGGCTCTGGGCTTCAGCCCCCTTGAGGGTGTGGGGTTTCAGCCCCTCTCGTGGTACAGGGCGGGGTTGCAGAGCTTCAGCCACTCTTGGGGCTCCAAACCCTCCCCGCTGCCTGGGAAGCTGCAGACTGAGGCTGCTTCAGCCTCCTCTCCTCCTGGCCACTGATGCTTCCTGCCCTGCCCACAGGTATGTGATTAACACATTAAAAATGCATTAATTTTGCTGTCAATTAATTTCAGGTTAAAACCCATTGAAGGGGGGGACAATTGGCACAGTCTAGGTCTGCATGTATGGATGGGGAATTCCAGTTGTAAGAGAAGCACCTCAGCTGCTAGGAGGTTGCCCGGCAATTCCAACTCCCACCTCCACCTCTGTGTGCCCATCTCTCTGGTCTCCCCTATGTTCATATATGTATGATTTTGGATTTCTCAGAATGAGCTCTGTGACACTGAAGTACTAGCCACAGATTTAAAAACGATGGGTCCAAAATATATTAATTTTTTTTTTAAAGAGCGTTATATCTTACGTTTTTTAAAAAACATTTTAAAATGGCTTAAGGGGTATATGGAGGACAGAGACCAAAGTATCCTCCCCTCAATTCTCAGGTGTGTTTTAGGGGTCTTCTCTTGTCCTCCCTCAGGCCTTGAGAGTTGGAGACTGCCTTTTGAGGGGAGTCTCCATCTTCCCATACTTTGGTCAAGCCTGGAGAATGAGGTTTTAGAGTGTGAGGGGGTCAAAAGAATGCCGAAGCCTACTAACATACTGCTCTTATGATGGTGCTCCCCCCTGCATGGAGCACTTTGCTATCCTACAGACAGACTCATGCAAAAATATGATAGCAGGAATCTCGTATCTGAGCTATATGCACGAGATGCTACAATAGGGGTTTAAACTCCTCAGCAAGATGAGCATCAGTAAGTGACATGTACAAGTGGCAATAATTCTGATGAAGTCTGTTCACAGAAATCCAAGTTTATTATAATTTATCACCATTTCTGAAAAGAGAACATTTAGAATGTCTTCCTGAACACGGCTACTACTCTCTACCCTTTTGAGCATGTTAACAGAGAAGGATTTCCGTGAGTAAATTATTTAACTATAGCTAATCAAGGCTGGTAACATTATGAGCTGTGAAAATGCACTGAAGTTAACATATTACCTCCTTAATTTAATGTAAGACAAAATATATGTTTGAGAGCTCACCAGAATATGAATTCCAAATTATTGTAGTAATAAATTATCAGCAAAGAATACTTACTCATAAAATCTTTAAACATAGTTTTCTCATGTGTTAGAAGATGATCTATAATGGACCTCCAACTGAATAAAATATATAAAGAATTAAAGATAAAACACAACTTGTCACCATCATACAAAAGAGACCCTGGGATAACATTTCATACAAAAGCAGCACATTTTACCATTTCATTTTTGATTTGTGTTTGAAATGCCAGACATGGTTATTTTATGCTCTTGAACCTGATTATGTGAGGATCCCAAAGTTAATGTGGAGAATATGCATTTACATGATGTGAAGAGAAGTTATCCTGCCTCTACACACTGCTGAAAACCTAATCCTTTTATAAAACAATTTGCTAGGACTAGTATTTGGCATTTATTTCAATGTTAATATATTCTGTAGGGAAGTTCAAGATAAGGCTTCTTTTCAGTAATAGTAGGCTTCCCCTTAATATCTTTGGAAATTTCCAACAGAATTACAGATTACCACAGGTTCATTTCTTACTGAATGCATGAAGTGTCCATTTGGAAGAAAGCTGGGTCCACAAATAACTCCAGAACTTCTTTTTTCCAGGCTCGTTTAGTGTAGGCATATCCACTTAGGGAGCTGAGCAATCGAGCACCAGCACGGAAGCTAGGGGCATTGTAGGCACTGCAAATAAACCTCAAATATTAATATTCAGGACAGACGCCACCAAATGAGTGCCTTTTCCCCAGAACTCCAAGCCTAGTCCTGACTGTAATAATTTACTCCAAATTCTGTTTGCTAGATATAGAAGAGGTTTTTTTCCTCTAGCACTGAGGAAATTAATGTCTCTTCAACTATACAGATGAATCAGAATGAACCATTACAGGGCAAAATGCTATATCAGCTCCTTTCAGATGACCCTGCCATCTTCTGCAAAATTTAAGATTACTGAAGTTTCTAGTCCTTATTCTAAATTGAAGGACTGAGTTTACAGACTCGAACAATAGCATTAGGATCCCACTACTGCCCTGGTCACAATAGAGTCACTGTGACAGTTATGCAGGGCACTTAGGCCATTCCTGCAGATTCCACTCAGAGAAAGGGTTTGCTATTATTAGCAGTTAGAAAACATCCAATCATTAGGAAAGTGCACGCGTAAACAAAATGGAAAGTGCATGCCATCCTGCTATTGGCTGATGGCCAACAACTCAACTACAGGAGGGATTCCTGCATGGGCAAGGGCATAGATCCACTAAGACTACCAACCGTACCCTTGCAAAAATTGTTATGAAAGTTTACCTGATCGCCTGTGTTTTGTGATAATCATGATTAAATTGTGTTATACTTTATGTCAAAAAAGTTACCTTTATTTATTCAGGGTCCTAAAAAATGCTAAAAAGGGCACACACCGTATTCATATACTGCAGACACCCTTCATATATGTTAAAGATACATCCTTAATTTAAGGCAACCCACAACAAATCCCCTTTCACCCCAAACAAGTCCCCACCCATTATAGTTTCTCTTATGCCCCCATCTTGGAAATGCATGGGGAATAAAGTTGAGCCCTACAACATGCCTTCAAGATCAGATTAACAGTTAGCATGATTTAAAAAAAATATAAGTATGTACAGCAAGGGCTATTACCTGTGATTGCGTAGATAAGGAAATACGTAATACATCAGGCGTGAAATTAATGGCACGGCTTTCTCTTTTTCATCACTACGGTAAACCATGTCCAGGAGAGAAGCAAGAACCTTCAGAAAACCAAAATCCCACATGTGACCAAATGCACCCCTGTATTCACAACCTACACACCATTATAATAACTTTGTACAAAATATGACTTGTGAGGTATCATTTGAAAACTAATAACTAGATGGTCAGTAACATCATGGTGAAATGAATGTACTAACATTATATATAAAGTTATGAATGTAAGCTGAAATCATGACTGAAGTGTGTTTACCAGACAAGTCTGGGGAGCGGGCAAATCTGTTTCTCAAAGACACAGGACAAGCCGACACCTCTAGACAGGTGTAACCAAAGCTCATGGGCAATTACCTATCAAGTGGCCACTCATGGGCAAGGAAGGGGGCAGGAACAAACAGATTTGCATCTTATCAAACAACAGCACAGCTCTTTCACCACCAGACTGCTGGTCTTTGTCCACACGGCCCGAAGGAACGTTCTCTGGGAATAACTCTCAGGAAAATGCATTTCAAAGGGTGACTGGACTACAAAAGTGAGGGGGCAAAAACACCCCAAGTTCTCTCGCTATCCATCTCTCTTTTTTTCACCTAAGATGACAAAAGAAACAGCCTTTGGACTTTGGGGCCGGATCTTCAACTGAGAATTTGATCAGCAATGTTACTGGGAGCATGTGGTAAGAATTTTATCTTGAACCAAAGTCTAGTCTGCTAAGTTTTAACACTAGGAAGTGTTTTATCTTTATTTCTGTTTAACTATTTCTGACTTTAGTGCTTTATACTTGTACTCACTTAAAAACTCTCTCTTTGTAGGTAAATAAACTTGTTTTATTCTTTAATTAAAACTAATTCAGGGTTGTTGATTGTGCGGGTAACTCCATTTAGGGTAGCAGACTATTGTATATTAATTCCCTTCAAGGGGCAATGGATCTAATATATCTGGACTGTCCAGGAGAGGGCCGGATAGTACAGAACACAATTTTTTGCAGAAAATCCAGGACTGGGAGTGTGGTGGGGTCACCTTGCAAGTGGTAACCAAGGCTTGTGGAAGCCAGAGTGTGACTGATGTGTGGCTGACAGGCTGCGGCTAGACACAGACACTCAGGGTGTTGTCTGCATACTGAAAGGCTGTTTGTGAGCAGCCCAGGTGGGAGCTACAGCAGCAAAAGCATTGTGAGGCACCCAAGTTTGTGGGGAAGGGGTGACAGCCCCTCACTGGTCTGGATTGTCTCCTGGAATGTCCTATCATATTAAGCTGCAATAGACACTTTTGGAGAGGGAGGAATGTTAAACTTCAGAAAAAGTCAAAAAGGAAAACGGTCTCACCTTCACTATCAAACAAAAACCTTAGTTTAGCTGTATCAATTGTTAACCACTATATAGAGAAGAATGGCAAGCATCTTGTTAGCTCATATGCCTGACTCCCATAAAGCTTTATGAAGTAATGCTAAGGGACAGTTGTCATATAGGCCCAGGACTCCCAGCGTCCTTCCCAGTTCTGTTAAGGGAACTAAAAGGTAAACCTAACTTTGAGTGTATTAAACGTATGTAAGGTGTGCTCTAAAAGCAATGGAAATGTATCTATTTTTACAGCTGCAGAAGGCACTTTTAACTGCATATGTGCTAGCAAATATGCTTGGTTTCCGTGCTTGAATAATAGGTTATGAAATTGTAACCATGACCATGAGAAAAGAATAAGTGGGTAAACAAACATAACTGGAGGAAATGAATTCAGTACTAAGCATGAAACTTTGCATACGTTATAGTGAAAAATAATGGAAAATTACTCATAAGTGAGCTCTGTATTGAGTATAGAACAGAACAATATAGGGGACATGAATCACCTTGCTTGTGTACAGGAAATGTTACCTTACGGTCAAATTTGTGGTTATGATTGGATAATGTATGTATGTAACCAACTGCAAAGGGCAAAGTGAAGTAATTGATTAGAAAGTGTTACATAGGAAACCATAAACTGTATAAGTGCACAAACAGCTAGGATATAAAAACCCCACCGAATTGCAACAAAATGGGACCAAATCTGCAAAGCTGTCCCCAGGAAGGGTAAAGTATCAATCTTTGCTTGTGTTCTGTATAGTCCTCATTAATCTTAGCTGTATAGTCTTTGATTAATAAATTGAGCTTGATTTGAGGTCTTGTTGATCAGTGATACAAATTGAATCCCTCTTACAATTTTCTCCTACTTAACGAGATGTGTAGGAACTTTATATCTTACTTCTGCAAGAAGAGAGAGAGCTTGAACACTGTATATTGAGGGAGCAGAGGCAGACACCATTGAAGATGGTACTAGTGAAGCATCTGAAAAAGACAAAATGTTTAATTTGCATTTTGAAGCAGAACTTATTGTGGAAAACCTATAAGTTTCAGGAGTGGTTTGGTTCCCATCTGGGTTATACCTTGCATACTGAGATGCAGTGAGGTATTGCTGGGAACCCCTGCCAGCTTCCATAAGAACAGCCATACTGGGTCAGACCAAAGGTCCATCCAGCCCAGTATCCTGTCTACCGACAGTGGCTAATGCCAGGTGCCCCAGAGGGAATGGACAGAACAGGTAATGATCAAGTGATCTCTCTCTTGCCGTCCATCTCCACCCTCTCACAAACAAAGGCGAGGGACACCATTCCTTACCCATCCTGGCTAATAGCCATTAATGGACTTAACCTCCATGAATTTATCTAGTTCTCTCCATATGCATGCCCACTCTTGATCTTACAGGGATTATACATTATTAGAGGGCTTATTCCTTCACCCGCTCACTTCCCCGTTTTTTCTCGCATGAACAGAGAGCAACAATACCCGAAGTCCGAAGGTGCAAACAATTCAATGTTTATTGGGGTGAACTTTCAGCAAGCATGATTCCAGTTTCCTTTCTCAGTGTCCCCCTTCCCAGCTCTGACACCACAGAGCCTTACCTGTGTCCCTGTTCCCATTCCCCCCACCTTAGCAAAACATGATTCCAATTCCCCCAGCCCCATTCCCTGTTCCAATTCCCCCTCCTACTTCCTGATTGACTTCAGACTACACCTCTACCCCGATATAACACTGTCCTCAAGAGCCAAAAAATCTTACCGCGTTATAGGTGAAATCACGTTATATCGAACTTGCTTTGATCTGCTGGAGTGCGCAGCCCCGCCCCCCTGGAGCGCTGCTTTATTGCGTTATATCTGAATTCGTGTTATATTGGGTCGCATTATAATGGGGTAGAGGTGTATATAGTAAAACTTGAGTTCTGCTTAGCTATACCTTAACCAATCATTTTACTGAAATTTAACTAACCAATCCTAACATATTGTAACATGATTATCTAACCAATTATATCCCACCACCTTAATTGGTTTACACCCAACAAAATTAATTATACAGCTGACAGAAACAATCACAGAACTAGAGATTATACACACAAACAATAGGGAAATGGGGACTACAGTGATAGAACAACAAAGAAATGAGGAGTTCACATCCCAGCTATTGATAAGTGAGTTCTTGCCAGACAGGATGCTATCAAACTAAGTTTCCTTTTACATCTTCTAGACTCTTCCCTTTCTCTGGAGGTGATAGGAATACAATCCTGTCCTGATATTCCTAACAGCCCAACAGCACCTTATTTCAATGTGACTAGTTTGGAATGTAAGGATGTGACCATACACTTCCCGTTTATAGCTGCCTCTGCTACTTAGCCGAAGGCCTTAGCCTAAGAACAGGGCCTCAGACTGTCACAGTGAGAGAAGGCCCTTAAAGTGGAAGACAGTGATTTTGATTCTCTCTTTTATACCTCTATAAACTAGCTAAGTGATAAGAATACACCTAAATTCTTAAAGTATAGGCCTTTGCAGACAGGCCTGAATATCTGTATCCTAACATACATTGTATCATTTTAAACTTCCTTAAAGCCATAAACATATGCCAGTTTCCAATAAATAGGTGTTAACAGAGCTAGCATGTCTGCAGATACAAGCTTCTATCCTCAGATCTTTAAGTTACAGGATTTGAAAAAGAAGAGTAAATGATCAATTATTGGAGATAGGCATCTATGAAACCAATGCACTGTCGGTCACATTTACTACCATTACACATGCGCACTGTACAAGTATAGATGATTTGAAAATTCTGCAGCCTCTATCTGTGAATGCTTTACATTTGGCAAAGACCTTAGGAAAAATGAAAAATTGACTAGAAAACACTCATTCAGCAAAGTTCCTTAGTCAAAAAGGGGCATACTTTTCACAGCTGATTTGAATGGATTTATACCCTCTAAACCAAGGGTATAAAAGGCAACATGTACTGACCTGCAACTTCCTCTCCATTTCCTACTCTACTGTGAATCAGGTGAAGGTCCAAGCAGAAGGAAAGAAGGGCAGATTGTGGATCACCCACAGGGACCACACATCTCAAAGAACTTCAGTGACTATAAGGCAAGTAAAGCTCCTTTCTTCAAGTGCTGGTCCCTATGGGTATTCACAGTGGGTGACTCCAAAGCAATGCTCATCAAGTTGGAGGATGCAAGAAGTGTTCTGCACCACAGATTGTGAGATCACTGAACCAAAAGAAGTTTCCTTGAAAGAAGCTTGAACCAGGGCATAATGCCAAGTAAAAGGGGAAAAAAGAAGCAGCAGCAGTGAATGCCTAATCTGCTGCTCTACAGATCACCGAGAGGGGAATTCCCAGAAAGGAAGCCACTGAGGCAACCTGAGCTCCAGGTGAGTGAGCCGTGATAGTTTGAAGGAGGGATGCAGCCTGAAATCCATTTATAGAGCCTTTGGGAAGACTGCTTCTTCCTTCATACCTCTTGGCAATGGAGATGAATTCAGATTCGCTCCGATAATTATATAGCATGTGTGGGGGTTAAAACGGACTTTTCTGGATTTTGCTTGAAGTCCCAAGGAGTGAAAATGGTGACTGCAGCCTGCACTTCCTGATACAACCATCCCGTGAGCAGCCAATGCTGTAGGTAAGAACCTACTGGGGTATCTTGTTGGTGTAGGTACGTTGCCACCATGACAGTACTTTTGTGAAAGCTCTCGGTGTTGCAGAGTAGCACTTTGTATTGGAAATGCTCTAGAGGCCCACCATAAAGTGCAGGATGAATGTCTATATGAAAACAGGCATCCTTCAAAACAGAGGGCCGCAAACCACTTGCCTTTGTTCAGGGAAGGGATTATGGAAACCAAGGTGAACTGAATCCTGATCATCATATGATGACATTTAACTGTCAGAGGTCCAGGATGGGTGGGGTTGGGAGTGGGATGAGAAAATATGTGGAGTGAAAGCCCTTCCCCCTGTGTTAAGAGGGTATGGGATCTATTACTCTTAACTGGATTACGGAGTTCACCCCCTGTATGAGAATGCTCTCATGAGAGGGGTCCCTGAAGAGAGACAAGGAGAGGGTTTTTGGAGAAGGGGCAGAAAGGAATTCTATCATGTAGCCAGTTGAGCTGATGGCCAAGACCCATTTGTCCAATGTGATATGCTCACACATCAGGAGGAAATGGGCCAGGCAGCCACTGAAATGGGTGGGATGAACTGGCTATGTGGAGACTGGCTGGTGGCACTCAAGCATCCCATCAAAATGGCTTCTTGGTATGCAGGTTAGTCTGAAGAGGGGGCGACGGTAGTGTGGCATGTCTGCTTTGCTGTACCCTCTGGCACTTCTGAGGGGGCTCATAGGCCCTCTGATGACAGAAAGACTGAGGGGCTGGGTGGTACCCCATGAAGATGGGGCTTAGAATATTTCCTGTTTGGTGCCAGGAGCGAAGGGCTGCACGACAGCGAAGTGACTTGTCTGTTTTCTTGCTAAGCAGGTTGTTACCGGAATCACTATTGGGAACACCGAGGATTGCAACCAAGAAGCCTGGCTCATAACTACCAAGGTTGCCATGGAGCGGGAAGCCACATCCTCTCCATCGAGTGATGCTTGGATGGACAATCTGGCAACCAGTTTCCCTTCATCCAGGATGGCCTAGAATTGGGGCCTATGTTCCTGTAGTATCTTATTGGCAAATTCTGACAGTATATTTGTAATTAATATATTTGGACATTAATTCCTGGTAATTTGCTATGACAAATAGGAGGCTGGCTGATGAAAAGTTCTTTCTAACAAAGAAATCTAGTGTCTTGGTGTCTTTGTCTGAAGAGGCAGACCTAGGCTGGTGCAGCTTATTTCGCTCCGTAACAGCCTGGACCAGTACAGAGTTCAGATTAGGGTGTGAAAACAAATATTCTGCCCCTTTGGAGGGAACAAAGTACTTCTTCTCAGTCCTCTTAGCCTTAGCAGGCTCTAATATGGCTTCATTAATAGGGATTCAGTCTAGAGAATATCCAGGAGTTTATGGGTAGGATCCTGAACCTCTTCTAGGGGGGACTGAAGAGTTTTTGCAACCCTTCTAAAGAGGTCCTTCTATTGCCTATAATTGTCTGATGGTGAGAGAGAGGGTAGTGCCACTACCTCATTTGGAGAGGAAGAAAATAGTGCTGCCAGCAGACTTCTACAAGGCACCCCTGGGGGACTGAGGTTCCTCTCTGGGAAGTGAAGATCTTTTAATGCAATGCCCAATACCTTACTAGTCCGGGGCCCAAAAGTATGAATCCCAGGAGCCCAGTATGGCCAGTGGGTATGTATCATAAGGATACATAGGTGCTGGAATTAGGGGTGCTGCTGCACCCCTTGGCTTGAAGTGGTTTCCATCATATACAGGATTTACAGTTTGGTTCAGTGGCTCTTAGCACCCCCACTATAAAAATTGTACCAGCACCCCTGTAAGGATATGGAGGCGGGCCTATGGTGGGTACCATCGGCCCCTAAAAAAACACATTCCTGCCAACTGCACTACTGGAGCCATCTGGGAGGCTCTGGAAGCCCTGTCTGGGCTGTTGTCTCATATCAGGACCACCAGGGGAACAGTCAGTGCTGCCTCTTGTTCATCCAAGGAGTAGAAGTCATTTAACTATTGCTGGAGCGGACAGTACCATCTGCCAGAGACAAGCACTGGTGAGTAGGACACCAATGGTGTCAGAGTCTCCACACTGCAGCTGGTACTTGGAACTGGCAAGTGATGTGCTGACTGGGTAGGGATATCCCTTGATAGTACTGGGTCTGAGAGGATTGGGAATTTGGGATTGGTGTAAATCACCAGATCCTTGGGAAGGGCACACTGAGGCCTAGCTGGAGGAGCGCTGATGGGAGTCTAGGGTCGAGACCAGAGGTTCTCAAACTGGGGGCTCCCTTCCCCCCGGTGGGGGCATGGAGTGTATTCTGGGGCCTGAGGTGTGTGAGAGAAGCTTTAGGGGAAAAAAAAAAATAC